GATATCAATTAATACTGAAAAAATTACTGTATCAGAAGCCAACAGAAGTTACTCATTATTATTTGGTAATGCTACCCCCAAACCACCCAGGAACATCAAAAACACACCTCTTGCAGAGCAGTGTAGTTCAAATCCGCTCTGTTTAAAACCACCGCTCCATCATAAGAGAAAGCAAAATACACGCAATGCTTCATTCCTGAATGGCAAAAGTTACAAACAGAATCCATGGTATGAGTCCGAAATGTCTGGATTTTAACAAGCCTGTCAAGTGCTTTTTAGCTGAATGGTGATTAATTGGCCAAAGAACAAAATGATCAGGAAATAAATTCTGCAAATTTCTTCCAGTTTGTAACAGGTAACCACATTTTTTTGGCTTGTTTAATAGACACAATGCAGAGACATTTGGCAGGACACTCATGCCTCTAGAGGAAGTCCCATTTAAAAGAAATCTGATAATCAGGGCAAATTCCACAGAATACATAACAGGAGCTAATGTGGTGTTCCTCTATCAGCGGAAGAACAAAGTTAGCAACATAAATTACATTTGGTAATATCCAGAAGTCTTACATTATATGTTGGGGGATTTTTATTTTAAAGTATCTTGTACTTTCCAGAAGTGCATACACACACAGCTCCTCCAAGCATCAAGTTACTCACAGATTCAGGAGTAAGCAGCCTACTCACAACTAAATGAAAAGAGGTATAAACACTTAATAGTGGCTAAAAGCTTGAGAAGCACTGGAGCACCTGCTACCACAAATGTAAATGCAATGTGCGAATCACATCCATCCACTTTCCCTGTATCGCCCACATGTGTAATTATTAGCTTTCACACAGATTAAGGCAAAAGTAATTTTATTTCTAAATTCACCTCAATTTGCCCTGACAGACTTCTCCCAATTCACCAGCATGTTGGCCAGAAATCCATCCCAAAGCTCCATTTGATGCATTATTTCATATCTTTTCTTCTAAAATTCTTTTTTCCCCCCAGAGGAATCTCAAACTAGCTCTTTTATTTCTGTCACAAGACTGCAATTTTCAATTATTGGCACTTGTTACTACTGAAACAAATCAAAATGAAAAAAGGTTTCATCACCTTGGCAAGTCTTACTATAGGCATAGTCTCTGCCCCAAATAATTTTAAAATCAGATAAAGGAAGAAAACCCAAAAACCAAAAAACAACCCAAAGAAACAAACCAACCAACCCCAAAAGAAAGGCAATGCACAACAGGCATATAAAGAACAAGAGATCTACATTAGAAGTGATAAAAATTTACACACGTTGGATCCTGTGTGTGAATCCACATGTTTCAGGAGACTCTGAGGTTCTTGAACAATCTGCTCAGGGACATCCAGGCTACCTCTGGCAGGCACACAGCCCAGCACCAGCATCTGGGAGCTCCTTCATTCCATTTGCTACACTGAAAGTTATGGGAAGAGAGTGCCAGCACTCCACCACTTTCTGTCAGGTAGAGCTTTTTTACACAAGATGTTTCCACAGCTTCCCCAAAGGGAATCAATTAGAAGAGGAAATTTGTTAAGCACAAGAGAAACTTTTGCCACATTTGTCCCAGAGATGATACTGGGGCTGAAAAGAAGGACATTCCTCCTGCACCAAGAGTTCTCAGAGGAGGTGGAAAAAAATTTGTGCAAGCGAAATTTGCAAGAAAGAATCCACTTAAAATAATAATATTTTCCCCCTTTTTTTTTCCTTTTTTAAAAAAAGAAGTTTAATGGCTTTGAAAAGGAGACACACCAAGTCCTCCATGAAACGCTGTGCGGTTAACTGCAGAGCTGTTTGTCTTTCTGTCTAAACAGATTATATTCCTTCAGAGCCCTTAAGCTAGGGCTGCACTTTGAGCGCAGCCCTGGCACATGCCACCCTTCCCTTCCTTTTGTCCGCTCCACAGCCTTGCCACTGCACAAAGAGCACTCCCATGACCCAGTTTACTGCATTTAGAATTTTCCCATACCTCAAACTTTGCAAAGAATTTGGAGGACTGGATCCGAGAAGAAATCAAAGAGCTCCCAAAGCTGCCCTTCTACACAGAGCTTGCTGTGTCAATGCTGATCTATTATTTAGGAACAGCTCCTGGACAATCTCATGTTATCGGAAGGTGACTACTCAGTTTCAGCAGTGAAGCACTCAGTCAGGGGAGGTGCTGGGCAGGATCAGGCATAACATGTCTGGTACAGTGAGGCAAACTGCCTTTTCCCTGGCCTGAACTAAGAGGAGAGTCAGGAGCAGCACAGCTAGAGACAGCAAGTTTCAGTAAGAAAACTGCTCAGCAAATCCAAAACACTCTAAGTAGTGGCAAGAAATGGGTCATTCCGAATTCCTTTCTTTGTAGAAATGGATACTCTACCTTTGTTATCTGAATTGCACACTAAAGCGTAAATTTACACTTCATGAGCTATTTTAAAATCCACCCTGCTTAACAATCTATATCAGCAAGAAAACACTTTAAAGTGTCTCTCACAATTAAACCCAGGCACAACCTTATATAAACCAAAATTTTGCTACCATATCAAAACGTTACACTGGGGCTGTGTAACATTGCCCATATCCTCATTACATGGTACACTAATTACTACCAGCAGATTCAGAATTTTCTGCACATTAGAGGCTTTTAGAGGAGCTATAAAAAATTTCAGGCATCATTAATTTAAATTTGTATTGAAATTTCCTTTTGACAGATGGCCAAAAATTACTTACTATTTAGAGTACCAGAGCCTGCCTGTTTGCACATTGGAAGAGGAAAGGGAAAAATTAAAAGGAAGAAGGAAATTTATGTCACGTTCATCACCTGTTAAATGTTAAGGAGCATTATCCTGCATGAATAAATTATTTCATACAAGCACACAGACTCCAGCTGGTTCTGGCCGACAAAAACTGTCTCAAGTCACACGGCAGACAATCATAAAAAGCCTCTCTTAACCGGGAACCACTTAAGGGAGGAGGGATCGATTGAACAAGCAACTAACTGCTACTCTGGGCATCACTGAAAACATTTAAGGAAATTAGCAAACTATTTCACCTTGCAAAGCTGGCAGTAAGCCCCATAATGCTGACACACAACCCAATTCACAAGCTGAGCACCGTGCAAGACAAACATCTACTTATCATTTCAAAGTAAACTGCACAAAGTAGATGCCCTTCATTCCTTCTGGAAGCTGTATGAGTAATAGCACTTTCAAATCAACCTCAGAAAAAAATCAGCCTTTTCAGTACAAATGCTCACCCTAATATCCATGCCAGCATAAACACCCCAACACCTCACAAATGTTACAGAAACATGACTAGCATATATTGTTCAGAAACAGTGAATGGCATATATCAGCAATTCCCCTCAGTCACTTTCTTGAATGAAATCATCATGGTTTCAACTATATAGATAAGCAAACTTACTCAAGAAACTACATGGGTTTGTGCTCTCACAGTTCGGTATCTCCTCCACTTGCATTTGTGAGTTTGAGTGAAGAAAAAGGAAAATGGACTAAACTTATCTGCTCACAGTGAAGACTGGATTTTTTCTACGGAAATCATCATTATTGTGTGCTCCCACCTTATTGCATTAAGCAGCGTTAGCAGTTTCCAGCCCTCATGACAAAGAGGCTGAAGTGAAATCCAACACGCCGTTGTCTTAGTCGGCAGATAGACAGCTTCAGTGCCTTTGCTGCTCACAGTGAAAACTGACAGTTCCTGTCAGCTCCTGGCTGTTATGCAGAGCCATGTGTGTAACAGCAAAACTGACAACTATTGGCTCAGTTGCGCTTGGCTGGGACATGTCAGGAGTGCCAGTGGCAGAACGGGTGTGCTGGGATAGGCTGTGGGACACATCCCCACCTGTAGTTGCCAAAGAACCAAGGTGTCAGCTCTTGTCTCAGCACTGGATGGACAGGTTTCTACTGGGGACAAAACCTGTGCCCAGAACCTGCTTCTCCCAACACCATAAAGGGAACACCAGTAATATCTGCCTGACAAGATCCTGCTGATCTTGTCTAATCACACTAGACTCATGCTGTGAACATCTCTTCCATCACTTCCCCAACCCTAAGAATATATTATATCTTCCTAAAAAAAGCACCACTAGAAACTTGAAAAACTGTTTCTAAGTGCTCCATAAGGTTGGCACAGGTCTTGCCATTTCTAAGAGAAGTGTATCTTTCTTTTCACACTCAGCAGCACCTAATAAGGCTTGATCTTGTGTTTCTGAAAACTGCGCAAACTAGGAGAGCACACCCATCAAGGAAGAGGACAGGACATCTCTCCATCTGCCGCATTAAAACCCCAGGAGTCCCTGGAAGACTCTGATGGCCATCAGTATGGAAAAGAATGTATTTCACTGAATCATACTTGTATTACTGAATGCTCAAAATTATACGAGCTGCAAGGGATGTTATTACATCTACTTATGCACATCACCTTACACGGGATACAGATATGCTGCAGAGTCACTCAGAACCTGCGAATTAATTTTTGGAAAAGGAAGGCATATTCCTCAGTGCAAGCTTCAGTACCACGTTCATCAGGGTAGAGGGAAGGGCAGCTTACTCCACTCCAACTACAGGACAGGAGGCAGCACCCCGTGTCTCCCACTGTGAGCAAAAGAGCTCTCCTTCCTCAACTGCATTATAAGGAAATATCAGAATTACAATATACAGCATCCAAATGACTCTAGACTACTGGCTTATTCTTTCTGTCTCAAAAGTTTGGATACAGACCCTGGGCAGTCCTTTCTTTTCACCCAAGAACGGCCTCAATGCTGTTTCAGTAAAATCCCTGGTCAGCATGTTGCCTGCAATCCTAGCTGCCCCACTACCAGCCATTGCCTAAATGTGACACACAGGCTATGCAGGGTGCTGCCACTCAACAAAAGCATCACAATCCAGTTCCAGTTTGTGACTCTTTCCACCACTCTGTGCCACACTTCAGAAGAATGTAGTGTTCACACACCTCTGTCAAGCTACCCTTTACACCTACGAAATGAAATCCTACCTTGATGGAGTCTCTGTCTGCATGCAGAGCAGCCCCCATATGTAAGGAAGGGGACATACAGTGGCAGGGGATGGGCATGTGGGGGAAGAAAGAAAGAGAAAAATACTAGTTAGTTTACATAAAATTATACATTTATCATACTCCAAAGAAAGAATCCTGATGTCTGTTAAATAATATATTGCACAGATGTTAACTTTTCTGTACAGTTAATTATTAATGTGGTACAGCCAGATTTATAAAACTGGATTTGTAGCATTTGAACACAATTTCTGGCTACTGCTAGATAATAAACACTGAAGTAATTAGCTAGGACTCTTCTAAAAATTGCTCCTCCCTCCCCACCTTTGCTTGCTTTAAACAGGAGAATTTAAAAAAAGAAGGAAACCAAAGCCAAACACTCCTCTGTGGCAGTGCCTACCTCTTTGGTGATCATTATCATGGTGCTTCTTCTCATCTTTAATTGGGAGGTGGGACTGCCCCCCCAGTGCACTGGAGAGTGCCAGGAGACCAGCACTGCTGCCAATGGGTGGGATGGCGGGAGGCTGCAAGCCCGAGGGGTGCGGAGTGAGCGGCACAGGAAGACCATGTCCATGTGACAAGTGCTGGGCTTGGAGTTGTTGCTGCTGTGAAAAACAAAACCCAGATATTGAATTTGTTCAGGGAGCTGGGGATTGTTTAATTGATCACCTACATCAACCGTGACTGATCAGATCAGTCAATGCATCTGATCAATCCAAGATATCAGTGCTCACAAACATCCTGGCGCCTTAAAAATGTCCAGATGTTTGGACACAACATATTTGGTAAAACTCAGACTGAACTGGAAAACGACGACAACAAAAATTAAAAAATAAAAAAAAAGAAAGCAAATTAATGTTACCATTTTGGTGATTTTTTTTTTTTTGACAGAAGTATTATGCTTTTCTCTTTCTAGTAGAAACACACCATGTACACATCTAATCAAAACATATGTAACTGCAAAACAGTTATATAATAAAAAAAAAGCTGAAAATTGAGAAAATTAGTGTTAAACAGTTCTCCCAGCGCTACTGCACAGCATGCAGTGAAAGTTAATTTGAAAGAGAAAACCTGAATTAACAATCCAGAAAAGGAAACTGGTTGCAGCCACCATTTTAAGCCCTTTAAGTGTCCTCAGTGGTACTTGAGCAAATTACTAAAGAAAATCTAATGTAGCAAGGCTTGGGTCCTCCTGTAGGCTTGCTCAATAATGCTGAAATAATTGGGCACTCTGTGCACGTTTAGTGATGCTCGAATGAAAAGGTAGAGATCTGCCCTTGTACTCTTCTCTAGCTGCTGACTCTGTGTTGTGACAGGTTTATTTGAGTGGGACTGTGATGCATGCACCAGTAACTGCACTGACAAGAGTTTAAAGTCATTTTTACCAGTGCACTGGCAACACATAGAGAAAGCCCTTGAGAGGCTCAAATCGGAGTGCTTGACCTCAACCAGGGCTGCATCAAGCTCTGTGCTATACTAACCAATGTAGGGTAGATAGACTGTTGCTATTTGTTGGAAAGGCAGCGGAAAAACCCCCTGACAAACCAACAACAAAAACCAAACAGGTGAAAAAGTTTAGTTAAATACACCCCAAGAGAAATCTGTTCAGGTCTAAGGCTTACACACCAACCATCCAACTAATTAGTGTTCACAGAAAGGACAGTTTACCCCTGGAATTTTCTTTTCATTTTCAAGCAGTTACTGCTCAGGATAAGTCAAATCCTAAGTCTTCTAGGATTGTTCTCTCCCACCTGCATGTCTGTACACTGGACTTTAGAAGAAACAAAAACTTAACTTCCTTTGCATAAAACCATTCCACTTTAAACTTCTAAGACTTACTTATATAAGAGAGAGCTGAAAGTAAAAGGATGCAAGTCACAGCACACTAGATAATCCTTGCAGCACACTTTACACATAGCTCCCTTGACACCCCACCCTGAAACTACAGATCCTTCTCTACTGCTTGGAAATAAACCTCATGCAGTGGAATCAGACTGGCAGTGGCATGCACACATCATGTAATCCAGACCAGTACTAGAGAAAATAGGTCAATGATCTAAGAGAAAGCTATGGGGGAATAAAATTACAGAAGAGGGTGGGAGGCAGACACCAAAATCAAAACCAAATGAACAAAAACCCAAAAATAACTTTCTTCCAAGGGGAAGAAGAAGGAAAGGGTAAATCTTTTTCCTGCTTGCAAACCCATGTCATTCCAGCAGGTGTTCCTTCTTGTAGAACGTATCAAACCCTTTTTGCTTGCTTGATGCTCTTATGGCAGTATGCTTCATTCTTCAGAATATTAAATTAACTACAATGAAACAAAGCAAGAGAAAATAGTGTATTGTTTAGCTTCAGGGTTTGAATGGGGCTGCCTTACAACAATCTGGCATGCCTGACTTGGGGAGGGAGGAGAAGAATGAGCAAAAGAAAAGGGATGAACGGAATAATCTGTGTTCTGCTACCTGGTTTTGAACAAGGAATTTCCTATTCCTATTTGATAATGTGCTGTAAACCACAGTATGAAGATTTGTCTGAATCTGCCAGTGGCTTAAAGTAAAGACTTTGAGAAGAGCCTGAGAATATCAACAGTGAGCTTTCCCCTTGTTAACTATTATACTGCCAACTGAAGAAGAACACTCATTACACTCTACTGTACAGTCCATACAGATCCGCCTACTGACCTTCCCAATTTGCATTATATGACCTCCTCTATTGACACAGGATAGTTTCCAAAGAGCTGGAAGAAAACCACACTGTGAATGTAATACCATTTTTTACTTCTCTTTGATAGGAACCTCTCTACATAGCTCAGCAAGACAACAGCACAGACTGGAGCCTGGATGTAATGAATATCATTAATGACTCAGACATAATATGGTCTTTAAGAGTAGTAGCCTAGCAGCTTGAGATCACCCAGAACAGCTGGACTGCGCCAGTCACTCTTGCCCAAGAATCAAAGTGTTTGCACTGCAAGTTGAATTGCAGAGAGCTCTCAAAATAACTGCAGAGAGTGGAGAATTAAAAAAGCAAACCCAGAGCCTTCCTGCCATAGAGAACTTTTCTGAAGAGACCAAGTTATTCCATTAGAAGTAATGGGAACCTGAAATCTAGTAAGAACATGGCCTCAGGAGTGACTGTCATTCACTGATACAGCAGAATTTTAGTGTCATTAAGTCACTTTGTAACAGCAGAAAGAAAATGCTTTGGTACGAAAACTAGACTGCAAAGTAAGTCTAAGCTAACACCCAAAATTTCAGCATAGCACCACATCCTATGCCACACAAGGATAATACTGCTGCATACTGTTAGATGGGGTAGGAGTAAAACTTCAACAACAGAAGGAGGATCATGGACTAGGACTGCATTGGCATGGGAGAGACTATGACCTCCTCCAATATAAGGAGCAATGCTGAACACCAAAAATGAGGCACTGGTCCAAAACCAGAAAGGAAGCAAATTCAAGTGAAACACACTGGGTAGGCTTTTGCTCTCAAAATATATAAGCAGAAAAGGAAATAAAAGTATATAATCACATAATTAATAATGCTATTTGCTAACAGGCTTAGTCAAGAAGGTAAAGATGAAGTGACATCTCTGTCATTTCCTATTGCTGTATTCAAATGCCTACAACCACAGCTTGACTTTTGTTTTTCCATTGCTTATGGACATCACTGGTGAGCATCAGGTGGCCTACATGCAGCTATTTCTTTAAATGGAAAGTTATAGAATAATGGGCAATTCCTCAGCCCACTGGGCATGAGATTAATGCTACCAAGTGGTAAAAAGGGTGATCTCCTCTAGTCATCAAAATGCCACAGTTATGGAGAAGTAAGTATGGAGATAGTTACTCTCCACACAAAGAAATATTCCACTAGGGAAGAAAGTTCACACTTGTTTCTGCCTGTAGCATGAATTTAGATCATAAAACTTGACACAATTTAAAAACTTGCAAGGAAAGCCTGAAAATGAGCCAACTGAGCAACTACATAATTTTTTTGAAGTTGCTGTAATGCCTTCTTTTCCCCTTCTCCATCTTCTCTATAATTTTTTATCTTTGGTCATGTTATTTATGAACTCCTAGCATGTGTAGCATGTGGTTAACTTCAGACAATCCCATCACAGTTGACTACAGGATGCGTAAAGTCAAGCATACATCTTCAGCATTAATGCATAATAGGTGAAAACTTGGAAAGGCAGACTTTATGATGCTGTAAATTTTCCAGAATTATTTGAAGATAAAAACATGAACAGTTACTAGCAAGAAATACACCCAATGGAATTACAAAACAGATTGCAATGTTTTTAAGGAGCATTCAACACACGCACAAAATATAAGAGCACAGGGTAAACACAGCAATCAGAAAGAAGCCAAAAAAGAAGACTGCATTCTTTTTAGTAATAAGTTTAGGAAGATGGTAATTTAAATCAGCTGAGTAGTAAAAACTGAAGTAAAGCTTTCAAAACACATTAACACACGTCAAATAAAGATAACATCTGGCTGCTACTAATGGTATTTTCTTTTCTGTATCTTCTTCTAGGCTGTGTAGAGTAAGGAATAAAATAACTCCAAAGTCACATGTACACAAATAAGTAAAAAAGATTTGCTGAAGGTTTTTATCTGAGCAACAGTAATTTTTAGAACCACCATTCTAAATGTTGATGCTCAGCTTAATTCTTTTCCCACCACATCTTAAGAGATCAACTTTTAAGTAAAATGTGATAACAAACCCACTAACAAATTAGCTTTGAATCCTCTCTTGTTATAGTCAGCACATTCAAAGCCTATTTTCCTGGAAGAGGTTCAAGTTTTTACTGGATACTTTCCAAGCAGCTTGTGTTGCAGTAATCTACCACTTTCCCTCTTACAGACCCTGAGAAGTCACAGTCATTACTCAAACAACCTGAATATACTACTCTGAGCTGAAGACATTTCTAATGTTAACAAACAAACAAAATGTCTCAAAAGGTTATTTTCTCTCTTATATTTTTACACATGTTCACTACTCGTACTGCAACACTGCTGGGAGAGGACTTCAAAAAATCTGAATCAAATAGTTTCCCTGTTTGTTTGAAACGAGTTAAGGGATGTGGTTGGTTGCTCAGAGTGAATCATTAGTAAGATATACAGAAAACAAAACCCAAGATGAAGAGGAAACAAAGACATAAAAACAATGGCTCAAGAGTACATAATATCAATGTCAGTGGTTTGAAAACCAAAGGCAATTCTTCCTCACACAGAGTTACGAGTGTACTTAAGATGATATGAACTTTTATCTGTTGTGCCTGGTTCACACCCTTGACATCATCTGCACCGTTTGTACTTCCTTTGTACTGTTCTCTCTCTGCTGGCAGATATTTAAAAAACAAAAGAAAGTTTTTATGATGTTATGATACAAGACACCAAAACAGCCCACAAAGAGAATCATATAGCAGTTCCTCCAGTGGAATGGTTCTGGAACTATATGGATACATACCATGTAATAGGTTTGCGTAAATAAGCAGCGGTACTGATGCAGAGTAGAACAAAATACTACACTTACTCTTTAAAGGGAGAGTGAGCATTTTCAAAATTATCACAGTGCCCAGAGTAAAAAGAAAATCCTGA